CCATAGGATCGTCAGTTACTTTTGGACACACTATTTCTACGCTGTATTACATGCCACGTACCTATTCAAAGCACGTCGTCTCAATGAGGGTGTGGGTGTGGGTGTCACTACTATATTCGTCCACACCCACACCCACACCCACCCCACACCCACACCCACACCCACACCCACACACCCACACCCACACACCCACCCACACCCACACCCACACCCACCCACACCCACACCCACACCCACACCCACCCACACCCACACCCACACCCACACCCACACCCACCCACACCCACACCCACACCCAAGTTATAGACCTCAAATTTTGTAGAAACAAATATGTGCAATTATATGCCAAAGTTTCAAAGAGTTTATATTTGTTGAACGCGAGAACGATGAATTTTAAAATGATTCCAGAACTTCTGGGACACACTTTATATATATCTTCTAAATGATTTCTCCTCTCTTTCTTCCCCCACCTTGTCAAGCGTCGGCCCTTCTCCATATTCATTTTCTTTTTTTTTCTTTCTCTCTTTCATTCTTTCTTGTCACAAAAAGAAACAAGAGACTCAGACAATAATCTCAAAGAATGCGACAAAAAATGCGCTGCACTAATGACTATGAAGCACGCCGAGTAATATGAAAAGAAATACCTCTATCAGTGAATATCTGAGGGTGAGGGTGAGCCAGATGGTCTTCTCTTCATGCTCACCCAGCCCATCCTGACAAAAGCCAAAGTTGAGAAAAATTTATTTCAACACACACAAGAACAACCTATTATAGAAACCAACACATGCTGATACCCATCATTTACCATAACATTATCAGCTTCTGCTGAATTGTGAATACATATTTTTTTCCAACATCTATGCCTAATAAAAGTTTATTTTCATATACAAACAATTCCTTAAATGTTTTTATAAAACAAAAATCTCACAAATAAATAATATGAACATTACATTTCTGTTGATCCGCTGGAAAACAAACGTTATAATCTATCACATACTCATACTATTTATACATATAGAAATAAGATCCAGATAGGCCTATAAACGATCTGACACGATTCACACATGAATAAAATTTCTTTTCGTATTACATTTTTTTCAGTAGCAAAACATTTTTTATATTACACGTTTGTTGTTTTCTTTTTTAACGAGATGTGTCCATAGAATGGAATAGTGAACTGAAAAAGAAACCATCTAATTGTTCTATATTCACGAGTAAGTGAGGGATAGAGTAGCTGACGTGAATCTCATACCGTCACCCTCACCCAAAATAACAAGAGTTACTATAAAGACAATAAAAAACTTTCAAGAGCTTGTTGTCAGCCTAAATCTCTTATTGAATGGTTATAACCGTTGTGTTTCTTCTATGAATTGATGTTCTACTTCTATTACTCATCTGCACACTTTTCTTATTTCTCTTTTTCACTACACAACAACAACATCTGACAAATGCATTTCTAAGCGGTGTGTTCAACCAAAGTATAGACACCTTTTCTATCGCCACAGCTAAGGGCATCGATATTAATGTTACTATAAAGAAATGAATCGATAGAATTCGTTGTGGTGCCATCAGACAAATGTAGATAACCGACGGCAGTCCTCCGAAAGTAAAGATAGCGATGAAAATGAGAATGTTTCTGAGTAACTTTGCTTCACGGACAGGATTGGAATGACGTTGTTTAGACGAAGAAGAATAGTAATTCACTCGATAGACAATTGTTATGTAGATTAGAAGGATGGTTAACATTGGTATGAGATACTCCGTTGAATAGAGATAGTAGAGATGGAGTCTGTGATGTAACTCAATTGTACAGAATATACTTGTCCGATAGATAACATCTTCATGGTTTATTAGGATTGTGATCGGCGTTAAGAATCCTACAGCCCATTGAATAGCTATCAAGAAATAATGAAATTTCCATGTTAACAGATATCGACGATGCATGTGAAACACTGAGTAGAACAGACGACTAAGGGCTTGAAGAAGGAATGACGAGCTAAGTAGAGTTGTAGAAACAACTGTGAGGTAGGCACGAATGATACAGAACAGTCGAGTATCTTTGCTAATTGGATGAAGCGGTATAAAGACGACCATAAAGACTTGAAGAAATGTCGTAAATGAGTAGAACAAACTGATGAGACATGTATTGCAGATGAGTAGATTTGAGAATGTTTTGAGTTTTTCAACGGTCAGCGTTAGATGAAAGATAACGATAGAAACCGACAGAATGATCAGAAAGGATATTGCGTAAACAGAATATATGAGAATAGCTGAGAAGAGTGAAGGAGCTGTTCCGGTGCTGTTGTATGGACTGTAGATAAACATCATGTGTGTTGAATCGGAGCTGCTTAGTTTTCTTTCTCTCTCTTTTTAATGATGATGGAATATAAAAAGTAACAATTAGTCTTTTATAAAATTATATTTCATAGTTTCTATCTATCATGCAAATAATAACAATTGAAAAGAGTTGTAGCTCTTCTTTTTTCCTTCTCTAAACACGTACCGTGCACATGTTGAGAGTCTTACTTTCTGCCCGTTAGAGAGAAATAGACAGGCATCCCTCTCTTTTTTTCTCTTGTCGTTTTTTGTTTATTCTTCTTCTATAGTGATTTTATCATTTTTACTTTGATTGAAAAAGGAGAAGGAAGGCCTATTTCTAACAGAAAAGCGTGCGCGTATGAATAACAAAGAAGTACTAAACACAATGAATATTTTCATCTAATTAAGTGTCTCTGTTTCGTCTTTTGGAAAAGGAAAAAGTGTTCAGAGCAATAGGGGCAAGATAAGGGTGTGACAGGTATTAAATTTGACAGGTCAACAAGAATATTTTTAATTTTTCATAAATAACGATCAATTGCTTTTTTTGTAATAATTTTTCTTGTTTTTGAATTTATTTTATGAATTTATTGTTTATATGAAAAAGAAAAAGAAGAAGAAAAACACGAAAGAAAGAAAAAAATTATATTATAAGAAAAAAGAAAAGAGTGGCGGTGAGGGAGATGATATACTTCTAACTCTTCTCCTCACCAACTTCTATCCACTCTACCCTCATCCTTAGTTTCCTTTTTAGATTTTTCAATGACAAATAAGTCTATTTGTGAATATAAGTGTAACTTGAGAAAACCGAGTTTTATTTCAATTTGTAAAGAAAAAGTGTAGTCATAATGAAAATTTTGTTTTTTCTTATTTTTTCTATAATTTATTTATAACAATTAATAAGGAATAGAATTTTCGACCTTGACTGTTGGTAGCAAGCTAATGAAAAACGGTCATCATCGGTTAGGTAGTGACTGTAAGTTTTTGTGGGTGTATTAAGTGTTAGTTGTAATATAGGTAAGTAAATGTTGTTAATCTGTCGAGTTGTGCTGGCTGGAGGCCAGTGCATAGGGTGTATGAGAATTTTTTATTTGGTGAGATGAAGATAGAAATGTTTATGAAATGAAGAGTGGAATAGTTCATGTGCTGTATTTGTCGAAGTCGACTGTGATTTTGTTGCTGATTGACGTATATGCTGGAATGCTGTATACATTTTATTATTAGAAGGAAGTTGTTGATCGGACGGTTGTTCTTTGTTTTATTATGGGAACATTTGAAATATTGGTATGTAGTGTGTAAGGGAGGATATATTTTGCTGGAACCTTTTTGAGTAATGATTTTTATTAGAATCCTACGAATGAATGGATGTCGGGTAATTCACTTAATTTAATGGGAGGAAACTTTTTTTGCAAAGTAGTAGTAAATGTACTGCTGTTTCGTAGAATAAGGATGGTATGGGTCAGTTGAGGTGGTGTTAAGATTCTTTTCGGAGAATGTCTGTTGTTGATGAATAAGTCGATTAATGTAGAATTGGTTGAAACATTTTTGGGAAACATTATTACTTGTAACATATGAGTTTGTAGATAAAGTTGAATTTTGGTAGGTAATGAAAAAATGTTTATTATAAATGGTGGGCGAAGTTGATAGTGAACAGGTATTGTAGAGTGTTTTAAAGTTCTGGGAAAAGTGAAAATATGTCTACGTGTATTGCTGCGTCGTTGGAAAGTTTATATCTGAACTAAGTTGGATTATTGAGTGATTATATATTATGTTTAGTGGTATGATTTAGTTTGTTGTTTGCGTGCGATGATGTGTTATGTGCGGATCTATAATATGTAGTGCTATTCTAGCTTGGAGGAGAATCTGGCGTGCATGCCTGTGTCCGTATGAATGTCTGATGTTTGAGGACCTTGATTGGATGTTTTGTTGGGGTTTTTTGGAATTCCATCCGGATAGATATACAAAGGTATGGATCGATCGGTACCGTTAAGTTTTGGTTCTCTTTGTCTTATTAGTATAGATTCTTAAATCAATAATCGGTACCGATGACGATCGGCCAGTAGAATTTTAAAGTCGTTAGCAGTGAAAGCATGTCCAGTAGAGACATAATGTTTTGCTAGGGTAGATTTAGGAATAATATTATGTGCCTTGTTGTCTACTGGAGTGGTATTTTGTAGAATTTCATCGGTATCTAGTTTCTTCAGATCTGGTTTAATAGATGATATTTTTCTAGTTTGTGACCTAGTCATATGGATTTTTATTTCCGTTGTTGTTTGATTAGATATTTGTTTTGGTTTCTGAGTGTTAGCTGGTGGTGTTAGAGCTTCAGGTAATAATTTTCGTTGGTTAGTTTCATGTTTAATCATTCGTACTTTTGACCTGGTCATCATCATATGCAAATTGAGATTACCGATTACTTTTTTAGATGACAAATTTGAATTTGGTTTTGGTTCCGATACTTTTAGTGGTGGAGATAATATTTTTTTCTGGTCTGATAAATGTTCATTTATTCGTGTTTTTAAATGACGGCAGGTTTTTCCAATATATTGTTCGTTGCATTGAGGACAAGTTGCCTCGTAAACAACACCCGATTTTAGTTCTGTTGGTATCTGGTCTTTGGTAGTGAAGTTTTGACCGATTCGAGCGGTTACATCATAAACAACTCGTACCTTTTTCAAAGGATATTATTTAGCAACTGCTGCCGTAACACGCTTAGCATATATTTGGCTTGGTTTCTCATAATGAGGTACTCTCAAGACTATGGTATCGGTTTCTGGTGCTGTTGGTGTAATTGCACGAGGTGTATAGATAAGATTAAGTTGTCTTCGAATTATGGATTCAACAAAGGCAACAGGATACCCATTCTGTAATGCTAAGTCACGAATTACGTCAAATTCATCATGGAGAGCTTCATAAGTTGAACATATTATTGTAGCTCTATAAACCATGGTTGAAATTGCATTATATTTGTACCGTTTAGGCACAAAGCTGTCCCATTTTGTAAGCAGACCAGTGAATGTTTCTTTCCTATACTTTCGAGTTTGAAAGCCGATACTGGGTTGTCTTTCAACAAGTACATCGAGAAATGAAAGTGCAATTCTAGGAATTGACTTTTCTTCTTCAATTGAATCTTTCTTCTCGGTTACATATTGATTTTTATGTGAAAATTTCTTTTTAGGTGAATCTTCTTTGCTTAAATCTTTGTTTCTAGTTGTATATTCCTCTTTGCAGGTAAATTTTAAGGAAGGATGGCATTGTGATAATTGGGCAGCAATGTCTTGAGCAGAAACTTTTGGATCAAGGAATACAAAGGTATCATCGACATAACGTTTCCAATATACAATGCCCTTTTCTTTGAATGATGGGAGATATTTCTTTTCGAAATCTTGGAGAAAAATCTGAGCAAGAAGAGGTGCCAAAGGCGATCCCATAGAAACTCCATCTTTTTGATCATATATTTTACCATTGAAGAGGAAATGTGAATCTTGTGTGGCAAACTGCAACAGTTTCTTCATATCAGCCATAGGTATTGTTGTTGTTAGTGTTCGGTCTTTATATAAATAGTCCAAAATAATTTGTATTGTTTCAGCAAGATGTATATTGGTGTAAAGACTAACAATATCAAATGAAACCATCTTGCATTGTGAGAATTTAGACAACGATTTTAACTCCTTAACGAATGCAAAGGAATCCTTAATGAGTGCCTCGTTCTGTATAATATTTGACAACATTTGTTTGAGCACCTTAGCAAGACCGTAGTTATATGTTCCGATATATGAAAGAACTGGTCGAAGAGGAACATCGGCTTTGTGTATTTTGGGCAACCCATAGAGTCGCCTAGGATTTGATCCGGTTGATCGAGCCATGTCATAAAATTCTTCGAAAATATGACCCTCTTTTTTTCAGTCTGCTCAACAAACTTGTCAAACGACGTTCTCTTTGGATCGTAGGATCATCAAGACGACTAGAAAACTTGGTTGTATCATCAAGGATTGCATTTTTTTTGGAGATATAATCATTTCTATTAAGTAGTACAATTCCTCGGCCTTTATCAGGACGAGTAACGATGATAGACTTGTCTTGTTTCAATTGTTTTAATAACTGATGGTATTTTTTTTGTTCTGTTCGAATAAGATGTTGTTGTTTTTTATATCGATTAGCTTGTGAACGGAATGAGTCTGTTAAACTACGTAGATTACAAGCTAACGTTAATTCTTTGCTGCTCAAAACACGAATATCATTCTGTATGACTACATCTTTCTCTTTCAAGTCTGCCATAAGCTTCTTCTGTTTTTGAAATATGTCTGTAACGTTATGAAAAAATCGTTCGACATTTCGAATAGCGTTCATATTATCAAAATTGCTTGGAAGTAAGCCATAGTCAAGACCATTAGCAAGACAATCGATTTCATCATCAGATAATATTCGTGTTGAGAGATTTTTGACACCTCCACGATCGACATTACGTTTTGGTTCATTAACATAACCAAGATTATATAATTTGTTTTCGATCGTTTGTTTTTTCTTATCCAAGATAGGTTTACAGGTGATGGTAATTATTTCCTGCAAACGTTGAAATATGTTTTCGGGACAGCATTCTCGGAGGGAATTAAGTGAAGTTTGATACGATGTTTTGACATTATTTAGATGTTGGTATTTATAGTCGATTTCGGCATTCAGAAGTCGACGTTGACTTTCTCTATATTCTGGTGATGATCTAAGGTTTTCATTTGCAGTCTTGAACTGTAAAAATCCTGGTATAATGTCTTTAGAACGACAAGTCTTCAGGTAATGAATATCCAACTGAACAGTTTCAATACGAATGTAATATTTTTTTTGCGGAACGATAAGTAATTAATGCACGACGACCACAATTACAAATGAGGTACGATTCGATATTTTCGGTATCCATATTTATGTAAATAGTAAGACGACGGATGGTATAAATGGAACGTTCTTTTAGTATGACTATTCCCTCTATAGAATACTCAGAAACAACCACCCACTTTACGTAGGCAGAAAGATGTATTAACCAGACTTTGATCTGTTATAGCACAATCAGAAACAACCACCCACTTTACGTAGGCAGAAAGATATGCTAATCAGACTAATCTGCTATAGAGACAGAAAAATTGACACTTGAACGAGCTTACCACCTTTGTGTGTCGTAAAATATTGAGAATAATAAATAGTGTAATAGTAAAGGTAATAATAATAAAATGACCTAATGGCAATGATAATAATGATAAGAATAAGACTAATAATAAAAAATATATAGGATGATTAAAATGTTCTCGGAACATTCAAATTTTTATGAAGTTTCCAAGAACCTTATTTCATCAAATATTTAAAGCACTCAGCTTTATTTATTATACAGAGTTTCGATCAGTCAGCTTATTTGTTAAACGTCCCTTAACACTCATCACGTAGTATGGTACGAGTCTTCAGGGTTACAGGTTGTTGTAAGGTTTTCCATTAGAGCAACTGTCTAACTGACATTCAGATAACCAGATAGTACTGAGTTAGAAAACTAAGTTTCTCCACAAATGTTTTAATCTCTTTTGTTGAAAGATTCGAATTTATGCTTGCTTAAATATTACGGTCAGCTCATAGAGTATCCACCTTGCGCATAACCTTTTCAGTTTTACCTCATAATGAATGATTCTACTGATAGTGACATATGACAGAGCAATCTCAAGTAACATATTTCGAATGCTATTGTGTGGATTTTCCTTAATAATACACGAATGACTTCGATGTTTTCGTTGATAATCTCGGTTACTGGTCGACAGATTCTTGGATTATCTTCAGTAGAGGTTCTATGTTGTCTGAAGTGTTATGTCAGTTCAGTTGCCGTGCTGTACAACACATAAGCTTTTTCTCTATACATCGCACAATTCTGCATGGATTTGCTCTGTTCTACAGCAGAGTTTGAATCTTGCTAAGATGTACTCAATAAAAAAAAAGGTGTCATACTGAACCTTTCTCGGTACCATTTTATGAATATTTTTTTGAATTCTAGGAAAAAAATCTAGAACTTAAAACGGTTTTAGACAGAAATTCGGAACTAAAAAAAGTTATAGACTGTTTTCCTAGAACTGAAAATAAAATTCAGAAAATGGTATCCAAATCTAGAACCATAAAAAGTTTCAGACCTTCGCTAAAACCTTAAATGATTCCTTATGCCACCTTTTTTTTTAGAGAGTAGTATCGAATATCTGTTTTATCTATCTCAAAACATATCATTTAGAAAGAGTAAGCTCTAAATCAACCAGTAGCGAACAGTAAACGCTTAATTTCATCAATCGATTAAGAAGAGCTGATGCTATTTAAATATAAAAGAGAAAGTCCTCCGATGCGTCAAATAGTAAGAATCGAACATAGTTCCGGGAACTTTTTAATCACCTGTAACAACAACAAAAATCGCAATAATAATAATAATAATAATCATCATCCAAAGAATAGCAATAATATTATTATTAATTATAAATGATATCTAAATAAAAATAACGGAGAAATGATTATAAAACTCAAAGAAAATCCAAATATTACCCGATGATAGAAATAGGATTTATCAATTACAGTAATAGTACCGGCAGTTAACAGCAGTTAGTAATCTAGAATCGGAAAAGGAAAAGGACAATATCTACATCTATATACATGGTGAAAACTTATTTGAAATATTCAGAAATTTTCATTTTTCCCAAAAAAATTTAAAATAAATTGAATTATGTGTATTTCCACGGGAAATAATTTAAGAACTGCTTTCACAGCTTTATCAACAGCTTTCAACTTCATTTTATTCTTTTATTTGTTTTTTCTTTTCTTATAAAAATTTTAATTCAATACGAATGTCCACATTGAACTAGTGTGACTGTCTTTGTTAAGACAGCTGTTTAATATTTCATAAACATGTGTTAACATATGTGAGCATATGTTTATTTGTCCAACCAGAAATCTTACAGTTACCTCTACCATCAATACAATCAGTGTTGGGAAGACTCATAACACTAATGCAATCTATAGTAGAGGTAATTGTAAGGTTTCTGGTTGGACAAAGATGTTTACTTTCTTTTCCGTTCTTTACTTCATGTTCCTCTTCTCCAACTTATGAATCATTGAATATATCTGTCTTGATAATCATGAAATTTTTCATCTCTTTTAAATTAAATATATTGAAAATTTTTATGTTTTGTAGAATAATTTTTTTTCTTCAAATAAATCAAAATCAGAAAATTTTAATAAAAATAATGCGTGATAGAACAATACATATATGACCTAAGCAGACAACAGCCAAAGAAAAAGACAGAAGGAATAATGTAAATAGAAAGAAAAAGAAAAGTATATTCGATAAGATTCATGATGGTTGATTATTTATAAAAGTTTTATAATGGTATTCATTAAAAATGTCAATATCTAGTTTACTATCAGCAAAATCTTGATCTTCTTGGTTGTTAAATTGTAATCGAAGAATGTTGTTGTAGAAGTGTGGAATATACGCATGGGTGTGGGCGTGGGGTGGGTGTGGGTGTGGGTGGGGTGTGGGTGTGGGTGGGTGTGGATATGGGTGTGGGTGTGGGTGTGGGTGGGTGTGGGTGTGGGTGTGGGTGTGGATGTGGACGAATATAGTAGTGACACCCACACCCACATCCGCACCGCACACTCACGCCCACACCCACCACCCACACCCGCCACCCACCCTTTTTTACCGAGTTTTCTGGCGGACCCTCTCTTAAAGCTTTAAATTTCGGACACTCTAGAAGATTCAAAGTAGGGATCGATCGTAAATTATCTTTTTCAAGATGCACTCATCCTCGAAAATAATATTCGAATCTCCTTCGTATATCTCCCTCTTTCATTGTTCTATTCAAGCAAGGCAACAACCATTAAACAGAATCTTTTTTGTTTAGTTGTTCATTAGTGGAATCTTGACGTTGTCTCACGAATACACCATGTTCGTGCCGCTTAACGATCTTCTGAATATCATTCTACTAGTACTCTTGATAATGTTCTGAAAGATGTATTCTTTTAAAAAATAAAAACATATGTTGAATTAAGAATAAGAAGTTCGAGAATGATAGATCTTTATGACCAAAAAAAAAACAAACAACTCGTCTATAATATCAAAGAGAAAGCAAAATATTTTGGTTGTTTGAAAAAATAGCTAATGCTAACCCTCGTTCTTAAACGGGCATTGCAAAAGCATAGATCATTTATCGAATGATGACATGTATTAGCGTCAAATATATTGCAGATATTGCCGCTAATTGTAGTGTTAGCTGAATACACTGTGTCTTTTTGTCTATGTTTTCTTTCATTTTTCATGTTTTCCTTCTTTTCATTTTCTTACGTTCTAGTTTTGACTCATATCCATATCAGGAAAGGCACCGTACGATTTTCCAACCACTGTAATTTCTTCTTTTCTTTCTGTTCCATTTTCTACCGATTATTTGTTACCGCCCAGCTTTGTCTCAGTGGTGCTTTCCTTTTCTTCTTCTCTTTGCGTTTTCATTCTCTTCCTTTTTTTTTCTTCGCTTCTCTCCTTCTTCTCGTTTTGTCCTTGTTGAATCTTCTCGGTTGTTACACACTCATTCATCGATTATATTTTCTTGTTTTTCTTTGTGCTTTTCCATTA